TGCATACTTTACACTGGCAATGAGGATGGGATTTGCACTCCCATGAACAAAGACCCGGACGCTGATTCAAGCACCGCATCGAGCCCCGACACTGAGACCGCCGCAAGCCGCTCCTCTTCGCACCCGGCTTCTCCATCAACTGCTCATCGCTCCGCTCCTGGCTCCCAAAACCGCTCTGCTGACCCCGAGAGCAGCAGTAGCAATCCCGGCAGTGCTCCAACTAGGCCGCTACCCTCACCACGCAGTCATCGGGCAATGGCGACCAGCCGGGGCAACATCGACGCCTTCAACATCTCCCGCCCCACCGAGTGGGAGTCCTGGCTAGAGATACTGGAAAATCACTTCGACTGTAACGACATTACGGACGAGGGGAAGAAAAAGGCTCATCTCCTGCAGTTGTGCGGCATGGACACCATCTTCCTACTTAAGGACCTCATCGTGCCCAAGAAGACTAAGGAGGAGCCCTACCCCGTGCTGGTGAAGGCGTTGACGGATCACCTTACATTGTCACACTGATTGCTGTACATCTGTTGGCCCATACACTTGATTCCACTAATAAATAAACGACCATCATTGTTTTATAAATACTTGCCATAGCCTTGGGAAATGGTGGCTTGGATCTGTTGACGGATCACCTTTCGCCTAAGCCCATGTACTTCGCCGAGCGCATGGACTTTTGCGCAAGGGTCCAAGGGCCGGACGAGTCGGCCTCCAATTTCTTGGCCGGACTCAGGTGAGCGGCCACCAACTGCACCTTCCCGCACCTCGCGGACATATAACCCGGCCTGCGAGTCGGCCAAGGTGTCTTTGTTCCTGACTAAATAAAGGTATGCTTAGCTGAAATCACTCTACGTCTGCATACTTTTCAACCTCCTTGTTCATTGCAGTTTAGTCCCAGGTAAGCAAGACGAGCCCAAGGGCTTTTCGCACCCCAGGCCAGCTGGCCAGGGTACATACACATTCCTCTAGTGTGTGTATAGGGCACCTCTGTCCAGGAACAGCTGAGGGACAGCTGAGTGCATGTAGGATTTCAGCCTCACTCTGTTAGCTTCTTAGAAGTAGCTTCTTGAGCATTCTGTGATGCCTAAGTGTTTTACAAATGACCTGCCATTTCTTTACAGGTTTTGTCTGTGAAGCATATAACAATCCTGCAGATTTTTTGATGGATATCATTAATGGAGACTCTACTGCTGCTGCAGCTAGTAGAATTGACTTCAACACTGCAGGTATGGATGCTGAAAATCCTTTGGCACTTTGTGGCAGAAGCTGATTCCGTGTGTATCACCAACTTGCGTAATTATCACCGCAAGAAGCAGCGCACTGTGGCATTGTTTTGAGGCTGTTAGTGAGTCTGTTAACTACACTTGTTCCTGTTCTCTTTTACTATTTCATCATTGTTTTGAGGTAGGCACTGATCTAAGCAGGTGTAAGACAAGAAGGCCAAGGGGGAGGTGATGCTTTGGATTTTTTTTAAAGAAGGCTTAGCAGGGTGCAATGCCACAGAGTCCACCTTCCAAAGCAGCCATTTCCTCCAGGGGAACTGAGCTAAGACAAAAATGTGTGAGCTGGAAGCTAAAAAACTTTGAGATAGCTCACACTAACTCAGCTTAGAGGGAACACTGGTCATGACAGGCATTGAGAATGCTCACTGTGTGGATTCCGCCTTGGAACACTTCTTTAAAATTACACAAAAATATACGCCAAATCCCAGTAAGGACATTTTTTTTTTAAAAAAGCCCTGATGAATCCTTCTAGTCTATTAAACACATTGTCACACTGATTGCTGTACATCTGTCGGCCCATACACTTGATTCCACTAACAAATAAACGACCATCATAGCCTTGGGAAATGGTGGCTTGGATCCTGCGAACGAGTTCCGTGGGCTTGTCTCTGCTGCAGCTGCGTATTTTTTCTTGCACTATTGCTTCTGTTTGTGCGTGATCGAGGGTTTTCAGTGAGGCTTTGTGCTAGTGCAAGAGGAAGCTCAGTCTGCAGCAGAGACCAGCAGTCATGGGTATTGCTCATAGGATCCAAGCTGTTGTCTTTCCGTCCTCTTTTTAAAGGTCTCCATAAAGGGAATTAAAAAATGGTCAACTAAACTATCTGGTCACAGAACAGGTGGTGGTAAAAATATGATCTTCCTCTTGGACTCAAGAGATAGCCCAAGAGGTATCTACAAAAAGTTACAGTAAAGACTACGCGGGTCTTCTGCGGGTTTCTTTCAGGCTTGTTCACCTAGGCAGAGATTGGAGCATGATGAAAACCTGTCTGCAAAACCAGTTGAAGCAAAAATCACGGTGGGACACAAAAAGTGCGTGCCCCTGGACAACAGCACTGATAGCTGCTCTTCAGCTCTCTCTCTCTCTCTGTCTTTTTTGCCATGAAGCTGCAGCTGTCTTATGGCTGTAGGTTTTTCAAGGCAAGAGACGCTGAGGTGGTTTGCCAGTATCTACCTTCGGACAGCGCTGGCTCTTCGGCTTTGAAACGGAGATGAGCACCGCAACCCTAGAGTCGGATTCGACTGGCTTTCGAGCAAGGGAACCTTTACCTTTACCTTTTTTACTTCTACATAGCGACCCTGGTATTCCTTAGCGGTCTCCCATCCAAACACTAACCAGAGTAGCTGATCATAGTCACTGATCAATCCAGATGTTTACAGAGTCTGGAAATGTGGGCCCGAAGCAGGACAGGTGTGCCTTATCGCTGATCTTTGCCCACATTTTATCGCTGACCCTTCCCCACAGGAGAGCTGATGATATCAGGCTGGCTTGGGCTATCTAAGTCCCAAAAAGCCTTCCTTGGTTCACAGTCTAATTTCTCCAAGCAGACTGTGATCTAATTTGTGCCTGTCACTGACTCGCAACAGAATAACCTGTGATTTACATTTTTTGTTTGTTTCGTTTGAATCAGACCTGAAAAAGCCTGGAGAAGCGGAGACTGAGAGTATCGCAGAAAAGTTAGCCAAACAGTATTCTCAGTCTGCTCAGTGCATAGAGATGGAAGAGGAATTAAAGCAGCTGTCTTTAGAGAATAAAAAAAGAAAGACGTCTTACCTTCTTATTCCGTACTCCACCTCCTTCTTCCACCAGCTCCAGTGGGTGTCCAAGCGCACGTTTAAAAATCTGATAGGCAATCCACAAAACTCTACAGCTCAGGTAGCCTTTCTTTCGATTACTGCTGATTAATGTTTGACTACATGGATTACCTGCCAACCCAGCAGTTCGAAAGCAAGAAATTGCAAGTAGATAAATAGGTACCACGTCGGTGGGAAGGTAACAGCGTTCCGTGCGCCTTGGTGTTTAGTCATGCCGGCCACATGACCACGGAAACGTCTTCGGACAGCGCTGGCTCTTCAGCTTTGAAACGGAGATGAGCACCGCAACCCTAGAGTCGGATTCGACTGGCTTTCGGGCAAGGAAACCTTTACCTTTTTACATTGATTACAGTTATGTATTATTATTTATTATACTTTAATAATAATATTAATATACTCTGTGTAATCCTCCTTGAGTCCAAGTGAGAAAGGCATACGATAGACAACATAAACAAACAAGCAAAATGCTAGGAAGTAATGCAGCTGAGTTCTGGATAAAAATGCTCTGAATTTAAAAAGGAAAGAATTGTGGGAAGACTTGTGTTTGATATATGATGGGATGTACAGTGTGTTGTCTCCGAAGTGTGTTTGGGGCTTGTATATGCTTGCAGTGTGAACCCATGTCAAACCTGTTTAAATGTCAAAGTGTTCAGGATCAAAACAGATAACTTGGAGGGAGATCTGTGACAGGATCTGTAATGTTTTTACTGTTCTATGTGATTTCTTAGACATATAACCTCTGTAAAGGCACCTCTTTGTAGTAGTAGTAATGATAACAGTAATAATCGTAATCATCATCATAATCATAATCATCGGGCAGTGGGTGTAGTATAGCCAGGAGATCAAAAAGATTGTCTGGCAGCCTGAAACTCTAGCTCTTTTTGTAGTGAGCTAGGTTTATTTTTGGGGCTGAGAGCACTGTGACTGACCCAAGGTCACCCAGCTGGCTTCATGTGGAGGAGTGGGGACTCAAACCCGGTTTTCCAGATTGCAGTGTTCTGAGGTGACATGTGTTATGCTGCCTCCTTGCCTTCCTTCGTGTCCCCAGCTTATTTTTGCTGCCACCAAAGGCTCTTGCCTCAGAATTCTTAGTTGGACCCAAAAAAACAGGGTGGCTTCATTATAATTGGTAGAATGACAGAATGGTCAGAGGGTGGGGGTGGCTCTGAGGTAAAAGGGGATCCTTTAAATGAAACAGTAGTTTCTCTTAAACATAGTAGAGGCTGCGGTCACACGTGCCAAATAACGTGGGCGGGAAGCAAGGCTATTTGCCCCGTAGTAATTTGACCCGCCACTGCGCGATCAGACGCAAGGGCGGGTGAATCGGTTTTCCCCCCTTTGCTGTGTGTTTCCGGTGCACTTCAATGATGGATCACTGACTCAATGGGAGCACGCTGGAGCGATCACATGGGAAGTCCGTCTGCGGCCTGTCACAAGCCCATTCGCTACTGCACTTTCCTGGGTATTTTTTAAACTCCGCTTCTTCGGAGGGGTGAGACAGGTTGCCGACAGGTGCGGGACACTTGCCAGATGTTCCCGTGTGATCGCGCCTGTAAAATCTGCCCGACATTCGTGCCTCTCGTGTTGCTACTTCTGCGTGTGATCGGGACCAGGATTTATTTATAAGTAAAACAGCATAACGGTGACTCTGTGGTTAATAAGTGTAATGGTTGTGAACAGGTGTACAGTTCTTTTTTTTCTAAAAGTTCCTTAAATAGACCTGGCCACAAAGGCTTATTTTTCTCACCTGCCACTTAGGCTAATAACTTGCACAAAACTTAAATTTCCTAACTTGCCACTTAGGTTTGTAACTTCTGCACTGACTTATTTCCCTCTCTTGCCACTTAAGTGCATAACTTCCACACAGAACACAGATTTCTCTCACAGCACTCCAGAGCACCTCACTCAACTCTCCTCTCTTTCTCTCACACAAGAAGAAGAAGAAGAAGAAGAAGAAGAAGAAGAAGAAGAAGAAGAGATAGGATTTATTCCCCGCCCTTCACTTGGAGTCTCAAAATTTCCCTTCCCCTCCCCACAACAGACACCCTGTGAGGTAGGTGGGGCTGAGAGAGCTCTGAGAGAAACTGCTCTTTTCAAGAACACCTCTGACAGAACTATGGCTTGCCCAAGGTCATCCAGCAGCTGCGCCCTAGGGGACAGCCATCATCCGATCATAATGCATTTCAGCCTCCCTCTTTCTTACTCTACAGGCCTGCATTTTAAATAATCTCAACATACATATAAAGCTCCACATTAAAACATAGAAATTAAAAACACTCAAAATATTTATGTAGTGAAAACATCACAGGATCCTTTTCAGTGATCTTTAAAGAATGCGTCCAGAGCCATGTAGGGAGGAAACAAAGGGTTTAATATCCATCCACAGTTTAACAAATCAAAACTTCTCCTCAGCACTGTTATTAGACCCTTTAGAGGTAAAGGATGGGCATCATCTTGATTTCCTTGAATGAGCTAGTTACAGTTGAAACCATGAGGGGGTGGAAAAATTAACCTCCCCTTTCCTCTTTCCAGCATGGCCCCAGTCTGAATCAGCATCTGTAATGATTCCTTGTTATATATGTGTGTGTGTGTCGCTTTAAAAGTTTGGTTGCATGGCTGAGAGATAGTCTAGAGTGGTTAAAACAAGCAAGTGTGTGTGATTGGTGATTGGCAGAAAGGGGGAGGGGTTTTGGAAGGGTTTCTGAGTGAATGAAAATGTATGTCTGTCAAGAGTGACAGTTACAGTTTAGACAGTTGATGAAGATAGTGGAACTGTTAGTTCATTCTGAGGTCTGTAAGAGAATCAGAGAAAAGTTCAGTTAATTCTGTGTATGAAGGAAGTTAGAGAGAATAAGAAAATGAAAGCTTAATTGAAGACAAAATATGAAAGGCTGTATGTCCTGTTAAACTGGAGAGTAACAGTGAACTTATAAGACCTTGAGTTAAAGTTACAAAGTTACCTGAAAAATCCCTGACAGAAAGGGAGCTGATCTTGTGTGAGACACTAAGCAATGGTTGAAAATATTCACATTACTGGTTACATTGTTATACCCTTTTAGTTATGAACTGTTTCAATAAATCTACTTTTATTTAAGTCTGCCAGCTCTGAAAGAAATAATTCCTCAGGAAACACATTGTCCCTCATGAGACTTAAAAACTTGACCTACCTATCCAGTGATAGCCAAAAGAAAGTATAAAGGTTTTGAAAGCCTAAAATTTCCTGGTGGCAGCCTAACCTACCCAGTTGAACAGAATAAAAAGAACACTTTTAAAGTGAAACCAGGCCTCCCCAGATAAGGGGTCGTCACAGCATCCCTTATACCTGAAACTGTTTTTAAACAATCAAGAAGATCCATGGCCTCTATTGGTGCTCCAGTGTGATCCCCATTCAGGGGACTCGGGAAATTCTAGAAAGGCCCAGGGTCTCCAACAAATAATTTATGTAGTCTCTCACAAGCTTAGAATTTCTCAAGGTTGTACATAAGGAGCCATAACATATTATCTGGTATCAAAAATGATGTAAATTTGTAGTGTTAGTGTGCCCTTAAATGGGAGATGAGGTAGGATAACACAGCACGGGATATATGCCCTGAATACAGTCCACGTAGAGTGTACACTTGCTTTTTCTTTGTACACGTGTTGAGTACGGTTGCCAGTTCTGGGTTGGGAAATACCTGCACATATTGGGGGTGAGGTCTGAGGAGGGTGGGTTTGGGAGAGGGGAGAGACTTCAATGGGGTATAATGCCATAGAGTCCACCCTCCAAAGTCGCTGCTTTTCCAAATGAACCGATCTCCATCACCTTGAGATCATATGTAATAGCAAGAGATCTCCAGCCGCTACCTGGAGGCTGGCAACCCTAGTACCGAGTAATTCTTAGATTGCATTCAATTCACGTACAGCTGAATGTGTGATTATCCCTCCATTATCCAGGTACTGGCTCCCAGTTTTATTTTTGAAGTATATGTGCATTCACTCTTTCTTACATACAGATGTATGCATGTAGATTCAGAATATATATGTGTCCACTGTAACATGGGAACAGGGCTGGTATGAGTGAGATTTAGCACCCAACACACACAACAAGTATCAGCACAATGTTATGCTTCTTTAGCATACATGCTATCTGATTCACTTTTGGTGATCTCTCTGGGACAATGGTTCAGCTGAGAAATAAAGCGAAACCATGGTTTGATTATGAGCATCACCACAGGTCCACATCCTCCTTTTGCCCTGCTGTCTCTTTCCTTCTTTCTCAGTCTTGAATCCCCTCCTCCACTTTCTGTTTGTTTTGGTAACAGTTTGGACCACCTCATGGCAAACAAAGGGCAGTAGCTTGCATCCAAAGAACAAGCAGAAAGCACAGTTTGATGAGGGTCTGCAAACTGAGGTTTGGAGCTGAGGCACTATAGTTGGCAATTCGACACAATTGTAAACTGGGGTTAGCAAAAACCAGAGGTGGACAAGGAAGCACCAGAAGTGGTCAGCAAAAACAAGAGGTGGGGAGGAAAGAATGTGTGAGCTGGGGGATACTCCCAAACACCACACCCTGGTTTGGTGTTGCATTTGAATCAAGTCTACCTCTGTTCCCTTTACAATGACCCTAGGTATGCCCAAGCAGCTGCCAGTTTGGCTGACAACCTGCTCTAGAGTTGCCAGGTCCCTCCTGGCAGCCGGCAAGGGATGGCGAGTGGGCTTACCGGGAGCAAGCAGTTTCATCTGATGTTTCAGCGACATGCCCATGTGACTTACAATGTAACCCAGAAGTGACATAGGCATGCTGGGGACATCAGGGCGACACACTGATTTTTGGGCAAAAATTCTGTGGTAGAATTAGGCTCTACCATAGAGTTTTTACCCAAAAAACAGAGCATTGCCCTGACATCCCTATCGTGCCGACGTCACTTCTGGGTCACGTTGAAGTCGTATAGGCAAATCACTAAAACATTGGGTTCCTCCTTTTTTTGGGGTCAGGCCCCCCGGGCCAGCTGACCTTGCACGGGGGGGGGGGGGTCTGCTCACTGATTGCAAGCACAGATATTATTGTTCAGCAAGCTGCCA